TGGAAACAGTGACCAAAACGGCTACAAGACTAATATCACATCCCGTCTCTTTCTCCTTTTCTCCCTCCCTTTGCAATTTCACCCTAATAGTTCCAGAAATTGACCTCTCATATATCCCAAAGGCACGTTATTACATTTCCCGAAGTCGTATTTTATGTCCTTCTCCGACGCCCCCACCCAACCAACCCTGTACACCCCATCTCACCCAGCCACCAACAGCAACACGCCAATTAATGGGGTTGTTCACCCGGCGTTATAACTTAATAAACTTCGGGGGTAATAACTTTCTCGCTCTGCCCGGCAGCAGCAGCAGCAGCACAAAGACTGAAGTGTAATCTTGTAGTTTATTCTGGATGGCCGCCCAGCACCAGTAACACAAAGAGAATCTGTAGCTGGATGCCGACTTTGACTGCCATTTTGAATACCTGGGGAGGGAAACTCGGCCTGGATTTGTCTTGCTGTTACGTGCCAAGATGCAGACACCAATGATTTCTTAGATTCTCTACTGAGAAGTGCATCAGAAACAACTGGAATCAAAGAGTCCAAGTTAACTCTTTTATATACTGGATCCATCATTGTTACAAGTTCACATCCTGCCTTCAAGCCAAGTTGGTTTGGAACTCAAAGCATTACATTTTAATTGTGGATAAAAACAGTATTCTGTTAGGAATGTTTCCCTTTTTGGCAACACATAAAAGGTACCAACTTATTTGCCTTTAGACCTCCTGAAGCACCGACTATCTGTCCAAAATTCCTTCTTATTATCAATAATGGCATGGACTTCCAAGAATTTTGCCATGCTGTAACGTTAAGCACGCAAGCGGCTCATAAAGTCAAAGCTCTCAGAGGAATTTGGCCTCTGTTGAATACTGCATTGTCAGGCCACTTATGTGGACATGTCCAGTGGACACAGAGTACAAAATATGACTTTGAGACAACATAAAACCCAGTGTGCCAACACAGGACCCAGGCACATCTCATGGCAGTAACTAGTGTTGGTCTATGTTTCTGTTCTCAATCCATATTTAAAATGTCATCAATTCAATTCACATTAATTAGTCTCTATTTATCTGCGTGAAATGGAACATTTTACTCAAATTATTTAAATGTAAACACATTAAGGAAGTTTTTCTGACTTTGACTCAACAAACCCAAGACCAAAGCCTCAATGAAACCCTAACCAAGTTTATAGCATACCCTAAAGGAATAGTTAGACATTTTGGGAAATACATGGCCTAACGTTCCAAGCCACAGGTGTTAATTAGTGAGCATTTGATGTTTTGGACAGAGCCAGGCCCTGTTTCCAGTCTTTATACTAAGCTAAACAGCTGGTGGTTGCTCAAGCTTCATATTCACTGTTGTCTCATCTAACTCTCAGCAAGAAAGTGAATAAACGTATATCCCAAAATGTCAAACAATTTCTTTAACCCAGAACAAAACAGCCACAAAAATGATCCAGATAGCTTTAAGGGCACTTCTACTATATCTAAATAAATATATATAGATACAAAAGTAATGCTCAGGGAAAAGATTGTACCACTCTGCCATGCCACACACATTAACTTATCCAGAGCAGCCAAAAAAGCAGTCTTAGCTATGAAGGATAATGTGTTGATGTTCCCAACTAAATTCCCTTGAAGGTGTCGACACATATGTCTGAGGCTGCATCAACAAACTCGCCTTTTAAATTCCAGTGGTTTCTCTGTGTGTTGCTTGCTTGGTAACCATTCAGGTTATGTGTGAACCGGGGTTTGTGTTAAAGTAAGGATAGTTGGGATTAGCCTGCATAGAGAAATATGTAGATTTGTGCACCCAGAAGGTTCAAAATGGCTGCCATGTGAACAATAGAAACAGCCCTCACTACTTGCTTGTTGGTGCAGCTCCCACTACCTGCCACACTGACCCACTGCAACACAGACACATCAGAAAAACAAGCCACAAGAAGAACTGCTGAAACAGCTAAGGGAGCAACTTTTTTTTAATTGAGTGAAGACTTTCAGTTTTGTCTTACGGACCACAAGCCAGACTGGGACACACAGTGTTACTGGTGGAAAGTCCAATAATTCAGACTGGAGGCTGCTGGGCTCCATCCAGCCCTTAACCAGCTCACTGCTCTGATGGATAGCATGCTCAGATGCTGTAATAAGGTGGCAGTGTGTGTGTGTGTGTGTGTGTGTGTGTGTGTGTGTGTGTGTGTGTGTGTGTGTGTGAGAGAGAGAGAGAGAAACAGGGAGTGTGTGTGTGGAGGTGTGTAGTGCCAGTGCAGTAATAAAGTGTGTATGTGTAGTGTTTGCAATTTGTATTTCTTGCTCTGAAAAGGCCAGTACGGGGGTGGAGGCCTCCCTTCTTCTCCCTCTTTCTCTCTCATGCACACGCACGCACACGCAACGCACGTACACATATCAAACGCGCTCAGACGCATGGATCAGACTCCTCTGGCAGAAATTAGATTTATCCGGCGGGATTTGAGGAGGGGAAACAGAGCCTGTTCACATCCAGTCTCGGTTAAAAAATATATGTGAAATGAATTTTTATTTTTTTTAAATCAAATGAATATCTTTCCAGGGAGCGGTTTTCTGTCCAACCCAAAATAAGTCAAGAGACTTTGGAAAAGAGCGTCAGACTGAGCCAACCCCGCCGTCACATGATGGATTAAATGTTGTTGTTAGTGCGAGTGATGATAGAAAAACAGAACAAACCCGTGTTGTACTGGCCAAACCCTGGACGACTCTATATCAAGATGATTGCGATTGTGTGACAGGTAAAATATTATTATTATTACAGAGTGAGCAGATGAATAAAACAGCAACTCACATGCGACTGTATGGCCGGCATACTACAGACTATAATAACATCGCAACACTTGTGCCTGATGTGAAATTTTATGGAGCAAGAGAAATATACATTAAAATATATAATAAATAAATATTCAATCAGCTGCATTTGCTCAGCTCTTAAGTAAATGATCTAGGCATGCATTTTCCAAGCGAGATCTGAACACCGAAGGTTGCAATGCACTCCTTTAACCATTAATCTATACTATGAGTGTTCATTTGTTCAAATACAATTTTTCAATAGAAAATTGAGAAAATAGAAACAACGCAGAAAATTCATCACAGTCTTCCAGATAAACTCACAAAAGAATATTTTCAGGTGATTCATGTGGAAAGACGAAGTTTAATTATGTTGTCTTCCACACATCTTCTGGCTCAGCTACAGATGGAAACACCATCATTCGCCGCCGTGAGATTTACGTGATCCTGCAGATTTATACATGCTTTAAGAGAGCAGAGAGCTCGTCCTGACTGTGCCCCCTTCACGTGTGAGCGGGGTTTGATTCCCGTACAGCAGAGTCGGTCCGCGCTGCAGGCTGAGTTATGAGGCCTCCGCTCTACTGAGGACTAATCTAGCCCGCTCTGCGGCTCCGAGCCGCCGGGCCAGTGATGGACGACCTGACTCCTTTTATGATTTTTATGATTTTTAGAAGAAGGCAGGGCATGTATACTGCTGACATACCGTTGCTATTGTATGAGGGGGACAATAAGCTTTTTTTATCCTTATTATAGTGTTTACAAGCGGAACATTCACACATAAATATAAAAACCCTCCCCTCTCTCTAGTGATGGACAGTAGTTGATTGTGGAATTAATGTCAAAGCAAAGCAGAAAACAGTGTGTGATCGGCCTCCATAGCCACGTGAGATACTGGGAAATACAGCGTCACTTAATTATACCACTGGTTACCTTATTCTATGAAAGATTATCCCGTATTCCGCCAGTGAAGCTCTGGATGTCTCCATACCGGAGCTCCATACTGACTCTTGGTTAGTGCATTAAAGCCCTGCACAGCGAGCAGGAGGCCTCTATGCAAGTCATACTTTGTAGCAGTTTGCTCCAGCAAGATTTTCACAGTTTGGACTCAGTTGGGCTTGTTACAGGCTGACTGACATGAGGAGCTTTAAAACGCAGTGGAGCGCACACATGAGCCCGTGCGCGCGCCCTTGTTGTGTGGGAATAAAAAAGAAGACAGAGGGAGACGAAGAGAGCACTCCGACCTGCAATCTATACCTGCAGTAAAAAAAGACAAATCTAAAGCACCAGCCACTTGGTCCTTTTCAAAGGGGACACAAGTGCGCATGTCCTGGCAATTACCCACGTAAAACAAGAGGTTACCCAAACATCAGCGATGTTCTGTAATTACTATCAGACTGATAGATTTGAGGAATAAGAGCAGCAGACTGGGTACGAGGTTTCTGGGGGTTTTTCCTCAGCTTTTCATTTTTTACTTAGAGCATCTGCCACTGCTTCCTTCCGCTTTAATCTGGTTGAACTTTAAAGGTTTCCAAAAGCACCATCTTCATCTTGCTTACATAATCATCTGTAATAAAAAGATATATAGTCCTATACTCTTTAAAACCATGCACGTAAAGCTATAAATCTGCTTTATGTGTTTTAATTGAGCTTTTAACTGGTGATCCAAACTAATCATCCTGAGTACTGAGTCATATGCATGCAATAACAACATCACCTTCATACAAAGAAATGTAATGCAATTTCAGTTTCCCCATACTGTGTTAGGTGCTGATCCTACTATTGTTATTTTTTAGGACTATTCTTGTTATTGTATAGCAAGTTGTTAACGTCAGTTTGTCCACCACTTGCAGGCTGTTTGAAGTGTGTGTCACATTAGAAAACTGCACAGACTCTGGTTTAAGAGGTCACAGATTACAGCTATTTAGATTTTTTGTAATGGCTGTCTCAGGTCCTCCGTTACTACACGGGCTGCTAGCAGAGGGATGATACGGGATAAATATCACAGTAAACTTAGAGAGCAGGAGGTGGGGGCACTTTGGCTCTCCGGCTCTTTGTTCTTGTTTTATGGCGGCATTAAAAGCGTTTACAATCTCTCTCTCTCTCTCTCTCTCTCTCTCTCTCTCTCTCTCTCTCTCTCTCTCCGCTCTCTGTCCTTCTCCCGCACTATTTCCTGCTTTAATAACTTACTTTGATCCAGGCCGTCTTTGTCCTCACTCCCTTCACAAATGTCCTTATTTTCTTCGAACCCTGCTCCCGGGATGGCGGCCGGATGGTGGCTTAGCTCGCGCGCCGCCGTGGACGTCGACTCCAAGATGTACGTGGTGGTCTCGAGCTGATGCTGTCCGCCGATTTTGGGTGGGATCTCCCCGCCGAGATGGCCGAGCTGCGGCTCCAGCTTGACCTGCCCCGTCTGGCCCTGCCCCGGGACGGACTCGGAGCCGCGCGGCGCGCAGTCCAGCCACGAGCGAAGGTACCGTGTGTCCGCGGCGGGCACGTGCTGGGCTGGAATGTAAGGGTGGTAGACAGTAGGGAGCCCACTGGCACCGTGGTGCGGACTGAACGGGCTCCAGGACGACGAGAAGACCGGAGGCTTCGGCTGGAAGCTGCATGATGGGTACGACTCGGGATGGGGATGCTCCGCGTGCGCCGAGCCGCCGGGCTGCCTCCCGCCCGCGGCTGCAGCGGAGCTCGAGCCGGAATATTGGACGCTGGGAAAGCGAGCCGGGGTTGAGAGTTCATCGCTCTCGTGACTTATGATGGAGTCCACGTAATAGTTGCTCAAAGTCCCAGAAATGGACATTCTCGGACATTATCTGCGAAACGCCGCGAGTTCACTAAATGTAGAACAAGAAGACAGACATTAGGAGATTTTTCTCTTTCCCTCTCTCTCTTTTTCTCTTCTGCCCTTTGCTAGGTCGCCCCCTCCCTTCCTCTCTCTCTCTCTCTCTCTCTCTCTCTCTCTCTCTCTCTCTCTCTCTGTGTCTGTTTCTCTCTCTCTCTACTGGCCCCCTTCCTTTCAGACAACTTGCTCACTATAGCGAAACAAAGTGCCACAGCCTACAGCCTCGCACTGCGCGCGGGGGTTTGTCGGGTCTGTGCGCGAGGCGCAAACTGATTGGCCGGACTGTTTCTTCGAGCCTGATAAAGCGTCAATGGAGCGTAAATCAATCCTGCAAGCGGGCCTCTCTCTCTCTCTCTCTCTCTCTCTCTCTCTCTCTCTTTAATAGATTGCCCCTTTCTGAATAAATTGTCTTGTTTATATGCAATATGCAAAATGAACAGTTCGTCCGTATATCTGTTCTGTGTATCTATGGCTGCTGTCAAGCTAGAATTATATAAAACCATTAAATTATGCTTCGTCTGGACAGTATGCATGGAATGCCGAGCGGAGACAAAGGCTGACAATATAAGTGGCGCAATTATTTTTATGCATTTATTTATTTAGTTATTCCTAACCTAATCAAAATACATGCGCATTTTAGTGCGAAGCGCACGGGACGCATTGTCGTAGCAGATCCACTCTTGCTGAATTGTGGCAAGCAATCACTTCAATCAATCTCAACATCAGAGAGTCAGCCTTTAAAACACCATTAGTATAAGCGCCAATAGTCGTACACTTAGAACGAGTCCACAGCAGAGATATTTTCTCTCCAGGACAAGATAGATAGTCAAATTCACACCTAGGTGTGTTTAATTATTCACCCGCTTTCTGAATCCACTTACAAGGTTTTCTGTGAGCTGCAGAGCCGCCTGACACTGTTTTATTGGCAGATTAACAGTCATTTTTGTTAACGAGCGCCATTAAATCGGGCCCTGCGTGGTTATGCCCCTTGTCTTTACAGCGCAAACTACTTCAACTACTTTTTTTGGGGGTCCGTTTAATGCCATAATAAAATCCTACATCAGGGCGGCTGCTTTGGTTTTATAGGGCTGATATATGGCCTGTGGTGGTGCGGACCGTAAACGCGACTGAAGCTGTTGGAGCCTTCCTCCCGGTCGGGTAAAGGGCTCCTCTCACTCGGCGGTCAGGCTGCCATGAGTAAACACAACTCGGACCTGAGCTCGGTGGAGGTACCGGGGACTGAGGCTCACAGCTTTCTCCTGTAACGGAATAGTAGATCAACTGACTGCTGCTGGCCTGTGCTGGAGCTACCGACGGTGTCCACTCTCGCTCTTTCAGTCAGGAGCGTTTGAGGGATAAAATCCGTCATTGGGCTTTTAATGAGGAGACTGAAGAGCAGCAGACTGGACTGGCAGTGAGTGCAGACATTTGACTTCCTGCTGACCTTTATCAAAGTCAGGATTGTAAGTCTTTATATTTCTTTACAATTATCACAGACGCAGAGTCTTGGACTGTTTTGGGGAGGGCAGGCTGCTAGTCGGGGCTATAAATCCGATCCGTGCGCCGCATATACAGCTAACACCGTTATTTACGACGATTAAATATGAACTACGCATTTCTTATGGGGCTAACGCCGTTATTTACGAGGATGGAGGTATAGGCTGCAGCGCAGCTCTCAGATCTGCTGAGGAGAAATGATGAGTTGGACCGGAGACAGACTGTGCGCTTTCATTTCAGGAGCAGCAACAAAAACCCAAAGCAAACGTCCTTTAAAGATCAGTCGCGACTCTGGCGCCCAGCTTTGGCCTTTGAGCTTGAATTCACCACATTCCTCTGTCTTTCCGTCTTATAGGACCAATTTCCAGCTCATCTGGACGGCATTCCGATGGATACCAGCGACCCAGTAAGGAGCAGACAGAAAAGTATGAACTTCATTAGAGGTGGATGTGTTAGATGCGTAAACTGCTCATTAAGCATGTTTTGGGAATTTTAGAGATGGCTTGAATGAGCTTTAGGGACAGGAACAGGAGTAGTAATAGTAAGAGTGTTGTGTGTTATGGCATAGTGTCAGTTTAGTAAAGGAACGCCCTCAGCATCAACCTGCATGTGTCTGTTTAAATCCTAAAGCATTTTGTTTATCAGTATCACAACAGTGAACCTGCACTTCACACAGTGTTTCCGGCGTGTAGAAAACCGACTTTGTTTTCCAGTCATAGATGTTTGGGATATTTTTCAGTCAAAATGGCCTCTCCACAGACCGCAGGCTGTGGGAATTTTAATTTTCGGAGGGCCTCCGCCCTGCAGGCCGGGCTGCCAACCAGACAGACAGCGCGTTAATTGGAGACACTGGCGCAGAAAAAGCTTGAAGACATTATCTACAAACCACCTACATTTTCTGCACGTTGCCTCAGTGCTGTGACACAAGTGACTTGGGCAAATAAATCCCCATCCGCACGCACATATTCGCAGTTAGAAGTGCGCAATAGGGAACGCATGGGGTTAAATCAAAAATAGCCATTATGTAATGACTTGTTTTCTTGTTGCACTTCACACTGGCCACATATTTCAGAGTGCACTTTCAATATCGTGAAGTAAAGATAGGAGATCAGTCATTATTGAGCAGAGGAATAGGGACTGGGGGGGGGTAATGCATGACCAGAAACAGGTTTTTTGCTGCCAGTAATGAGCACCATGGTGAGCATGCAGGTTCCAGCTTCGTCAGTTCACTCTGAGCAGCTGTTTTATATCTCGTCAGAAAAGTTGATTTGAAAATTATATACACCAAACTCTCAGTTGATATGAAACTGAAAAGTTCTTGTATTCAAACTGTGACGGTGACCAGATCAATCGACTCAGGGCATTTTACGTTTACAAGCTACCAATAAAAGTATTTACAGAACAATAAAGTGCATTTATAGTATCTCCTCTCCTTTTCTAGCATAGGGTTTAATATTAATTCCCCTAAACAAGGCATTGGGCCGCCATAAAAGCAGCGGGCTCATTAAAAACAAGAGTGCAATAAACTTAAGAAACGCAAGTGAACTCATCATGGAGAAGAGCTTAAATTTCAGCACTGCGCACTCTTTTTCTTTTTCCCCCCAACCGATTTTAAATAACCGAGGCAGTCAGTGTCAAAGAGGCTGAGCCGAGGCCGCGATCACCTCTGCTCATTTGAAATACTGACATGTGAATTCCAGGCGGTAATTTACTTTTCCTGGAGCCAAAGCCTTCATTTCCACCAATGGGATCCGGATTTAGAAGGCATAAATTTAGACCGTATTTCTAATTACACTTTACGCACATTCACGGGGTATTTTTGTTTTGAAAGTGAAATATTGTCAGAGTCTGCAAGGAGAATTCATCACATCAATTGAATAATCTGATTTTAGGTCTTTTGATATTGTCTGTTAAACCTATTTTGTTGAGAAAGGCAGAGATCACCTTCATAAAAAGGTAAAATTAACCAAATGCTCCCTAAATATTCCAGCGAGCCAGTGGACAGATTTTATTGTATCAAATAATCTCAGAAACTACAAATTTCCTTATACGTATTTCTTTGTAAGAGTCAGAAAATGGGTCAAAGGATGTGAGGAAAACTTTTAACACCCAATGAACACGCAGTAAAGTAGGTCCAGGGACTTTAATTGCTGTTAAGTACTGAAGGTTACTGACTCATTTCAGTTTTTAACCTTAAACGCTGTAGGGAATGTGTGTATAGGACATACAGCATATAGTGTGTGTGTGTGTGGGGGGGGGGGTTCAACATTACCAGTTTCAACATTTAATTGAAACTGGTGATATTTGCTTGCTGTGTGTATTATTTATTCGAGATCATCCTTTTTTGGCCATGTGGGGTTTTATTTACTTCGATTATTGGAGTGCGAAAAGACTGCGGTCCCGTTATTTAATAATACAATGATTAGGCTGATTGTATTATAGAGGATGTAATTGAAAAGAAATACAGATGCGTCTGTTTACAATTTGTAAACATAGTTTCGATACAGTTTTTTTTGTTTGTTTGTTATATTATAATACTTAAGTGTTTCAGTGCTGCAAACACACACTATAGGGCAGCAGACAAGAGGGCTCCAAACTGCATCAAATTATATTTTACATAAGCATATTTACCACAATATCACGGAGGTCGGGTCAGTAAAACAGATGTCTTTCTCAGTTTGCCCATTAAATAGGCTATAAATACAATAAAGAAAAAAATTTTGTTTTAATAGTTTGCAGATTATTTCAATAAATAGCAGCAACTAAACAAATAAATAAATACATTCTAAAATGTTGAATCTAAAATATACATATTATATGTGTTAAGCTAAACATTTAACTATGAATCGGCATGTTCATGTACATACAGTTTATTGAAATATTCATTATAAAGCTATATTGATCTTTTACAATTTGCATTGCATATAGAGTGTCAGATATCAGCTAAGATGCTAACTCTGATGACTGATTAATGAATGGGGTAAACATTGTGTGGTTTAACACATTATTCCCAGGTCTTCCAATGAAATATTCTTCCCTGTGTAACATGTCCCCACTCATACCACCACAAACATTAACTGTTATTTAATAATTAAAAAAAAAAAAAAAAAGAACTTGAATCATGATACACATTCAACACTTTACAATATAATGTGGAACGACTGATTTAGGCTTTCTGTTTTGATGAAAAAGCGTAAGTAGGTACCTAACAATAAATGGCCATTGAGCATGATAACCTCTTTGATTAATACAAGCTATATATTTTAATAACAGCCCATGCTTGGGCCTCGTGGATCACGTACAGTATCATATTTCTCAGCTGAAAAGCTTGAGGAGGCTCCAGGCATCTCCCTGAGCCTCTTTAGAGCTCCGATGGTAAAGTTGCTTTTGTAAATGAAGTCAGTAGAGAGTTATTAACTGGCTATCCACCACAGTAGAAATGCATCATGATGTGGGACTCAGAAGCTGCAAGAAATGTCCTGAGACACATACTGGGAGAGAAAAGTCCAGCTGCTGGACTGTGTGTGTGTGTGTGTGCATTAATTCCACCTCCTCCTCAAACTTTCTCAAATGTTTTGCTCCATCTAGCTGCAATTAAGATAAAACAATCAGATGTATTAAAAAGTCTGTAAGGCTTGTATTTTGAATGATGTTATCAGTATGCAAGAAAGTATGAGGATGAAGAGAATACACAGACCTGTGTAACGTGTGACAGTTATGTTAGGTCCCAGTCTATAAACCCAGCAAACACATATGCAAAAAGTCCACGTGTCAATGTGTGTTTTAGAGGCTTAATCCTACTATCCTCAGCTACTTGAGTATCTGTTTATGTCTCAGATAATGCAGATTTTTGCAGAATGTGCTAGAGACTCCCTTGATTGTGTGCATGCAGTGTGTGAGTGTGTTTGTTGGAGAGAGAGTTTAACTCTTAAAAGCAAACAAACACTTTTGGAATCTACATAATAATTCATTTGTGACTGCTTTACAGCCAAATGCCACTAAAATATGCAAGTGTTTGGTAGATTAATGAAAAGTTCATTTTGCACCCTGAACTAGATAAAACAAATGACACAATGTAACAATAAAGGAAAAAATATAAAACAAATTAACTTTATTGTTTTGCTGATATGAACAAGGAGCAATAGTGGAGCTTATTACTGGTTACTGACTGAAGGCTAGTAATTTCAGTTGTCTTTTATTTTGCATCAGAACAGAAAGCTGAGCAGCAGTTCCACTGAATGTTTCATATAAACGTATAGGCTAACATACAGTGTACTAATGGGTAATGGTTAACATTAGTCACAACGTACAGATGCCCTTAGGAGACATTTCCACCAATAAGCTCCCTTTAATGTTATCACTATTCTGTACCAAATCAATCTGACTTGTAAAATAATAATTGTTTTTGTGGTTCAATGTGTTTCCTTTCATTAAAAATACTTTGTTGGATGTGTGTCTTCACAGACATTTGTTGACATGAAACACTGTATTAAATTTGCTGAAATCAATAAATAAAGTAGGAAACAATGAGGCTTTTTGCTAACTTAATGTTTGTTATTTTGTACTATTGTTCTTCTTTTTGAGTTTGGGTTCATTTCAAGCCGTAAAAGCTAGAGGATAAATAGCAGGCTGCTCAGTTTAAAGGTTTTTAAATGTGCTTACATCCTCAATCCATAGAGTTCGTCTGCCCTGCAAATGAAACATAAGATCATGGAAATCTAACAGTTTATCTGCTGATTTAACATAACTCTGTAATGCCCATCTCAAGTAGCTGATTGACTATCTGCTCCTCAGTTTACCTTTACATTATTGATTGAGAAGTCTACTTAAAGACATGTTTTTTAAAGGTGGGAGAAATTAAGCAAATAAATTGAGCAATTTAAGGAATACTTGTGTGTATGTGGATTAAATAAATCCTTATTAAAGTAACTTAACATTTTTAACCACCATATACTGTAAACAGTCTCACTGTGACCGTAATCCTCAATTAGATCACTATAGATGATTTTCATACTTTAATCATATCAGGATAGTGCTTATTTAACATATTTCCTTCTTGCTTTATTTACAAAATCTAGTGCAAAAAACTAAAATATTCACCTTAACATTAGTAAAATAAAGTAGAGCGTGATAACTGATTGTGTCTACTCTTCTGCTTCATACATCACACAGTAGATCAGGCAAACTTATCAAAGCCATGGCTGGATGAGCCAGTTTGGGAGTCCAGGGGCAGAATATTGCTGTTGGGCCCCTATTGATCCCCCTCATGCATCTCCACCTCCTGCTCTCTGTGCCTGTAACCGTCGTCTCCTGGTTCCCATTAAGCACAGTGCACACAGCACACTATACATGGTGACTTCATTCTGTGTGCAGAAATGCAGTATGCAATATTTCCATGTTGGGAAAACGCTGAATGGTCTCTATGTTTCTGTCTGTCAGTTAGTTTGTAATAGGCCTAATTTGATTTAAAAACAACACACACAATTTATTTAGGGATATGCACCATGTGAGCACAATATAAACTAAACAGAATTTGACAAAGGACCCATCTACAGGGCAGGGCAACAAGATTAGTTTTAGTCCAGGACTTGCAACCCGACTAGGACTTTAACACGAGTAACTTGACTTCACTTGACTGGAAATACTTGACACTTTCCTCCAAGCCAAGATTAGAATTCTATTATATAAGTGTGCCACATATCATTCATATTTATTCCCAGTGAGTAACTATATTGTAGAATCTATTGTCTGTTTTTACTTTTATCTTTTTATTTAATTTAGACATAAGACCTGCAACAACATATAATATAAATATCGCTAAAATAAAAAATAGTATTACCAAAAATATTTCACAAATTTGGGAATAGAAAGTTATAGACATTGTTCTAATGGGTTAAGACAGGACAGTAACATACTAAATGTATTTTATTGTGGTTAATAGTGTGATATACTATGAAAGTTCAATGTCAGCACTACTTTTCATATGATTAAGTTCAGTTGCACTTGTTGTAACAAACACATACGCATTTTAAAAAGCATTCAGGATTTTTGTACATTTTATATATATTATCACTCTGTTGTTAAATGGCACTACATTTGGTGAAGAGCACATTATGACTTGTAACTGTGAATATAATAACTTTGTCCGACTACTTGTCAGTCAATCTTATGACATCTCTCTACAATAATATCAATGATATCTCAATAGCTCCAAAACATCTATTACTTTCATATGGCTTGCAGATACAATAAATCCTGTTTACATTATATTTGCTACACTACTAAAAGCAACTGAAAAAGATATTTACCAAAGTTTTGAATTTAGATTTATCAGAAGCATTTGTCACAGTTGATCACATGATGCAATTGCCATATAGACAGACAAAATGCAGTACAACCATATGTGTTAATATACACAAATTTTACATGAACAAATTACATTGTGGGTTTTTTTCTTTCAACATATCAGACAAAAGCTTTATTAAGCTTGTGAGGTTCATTGAAATAATCATAATAATTCTCCACCACTTCAAATCAAGCCTGTTTGTGACCCTAACAACAAAAAACATGTGGTTAATGTTGGAGAAACATCTGCGTCATGGTTGCATATTAAAAATGCCATCGATAACTGCTAGTGTGAGATGTGTTGTGAAAGCTTTATGTGCACATATAACCCCGCTGAACAAAGCTCTGATAATTGCCAGGAGGCCAGTACTGATGCAAGAAAGACAAAAGGATTTTAATTGATGATCAGAAGAATGAGTAGCCATATTGGCCAATCAGATGCAAATTGAGATGCAGGTTAGATAGCAACTGTTAGATAATAGTTAATATGAAAAGAGGCAAAGGATATGAGGTTTGAGTGCTGACTCTCATCTTTAAGGCTGTTTGAGGGTGTTCACATCCACATATGTATAATTTAAGAACAGTGCATCAGTACAATGATTGTTAATATACGTACAAGGTGACCAGTGAGTTTTTATGGTCAGTGGAATGATCATCTTGACTAGCCAAGTTGGTCACCTGACGTCAGCCCAAGTGACCAAATGTCCACCACTGAAGACCAACCCAAGTGTTTCAGACAGCACTGACAGTGGTGCATTTATTTTGGCATTACAGTACTTAAGTACAATTTTCAGGCAATTGTGCTTAGCTTGAGTATTCCCACATTCTTGTACTTTTTATTAATTTTTTTTTTTTTTACTCCGCTTCATCAGCCTGGTACCACCAAACCAAATGTCTTAAGTAATTTCATGTGTTATCACAATACCTTTTTTCATGTACATCCAATTTTCATGTGTCATTTCACGCCATTTAGTCTCTACTGTGCTAATGTCATAGAGATAAAATTGTCAAGTGACCTAAAGAGCGACAAAGTCCACACAGGAACCAGGTCAGAGTGGATGGATGGGTCAAACAAACACTGAACTTTGACCCAGAGACCGCTGTTTATGTCTTTGTGTGTGAAGCCAAAAGGTCAACGTTGACTTACTTTAACTTATGCAACATAAGTAATGTAACTTAAGGTTTTTGTTTTGCCTACACCTAACCTAAATGTAACCCTTTCACAGTATTAACCATGTGTTTATTATTGTTACCACAATCAGGAATGTCACCTGACTATTGTTACCATGACAACAAAGGTCACCTGTCAAAGACCATCTGACATCTGTCTTCTCTAATGGAGGTAAATAAAACAGGCAAAGCCTGAAATGCGTAGACATGACACCGAAATGGTGGGCCATTTATACACCATCCCATGATAATACCTCTGACATCTGACAGCTACACTTACTCTGCAGATTCAAGTTTTACATACAAAACAATTGATGAGCTTATGAAATATGATGCTTTGTTGTAATTCAAACTACCTAATTGTATCTGAAGTGTTTAAAATTGGCACCAGCTTGACCAGCATTAACATTAGAATGTCGCTTACACATTGAGTCACCATTAACAATAAAACCATCTCTCTCAGAAAAGGAGTATAAGGTTTTAGCATGCTCTCTGCACATGGGTCCGTGCTTTGTTAATGTCACACTCTCGTCTGTGCCAGAGTTGTTATTGCTAAAGGAATTAAAGGCCTGTCCCAAATAGACCCTGGTCCCCAGTAAAGGCAGGGTGAGTTCAGGGATTTAAGCAAATAAATGCCCAGATTGTTTTTAGAAGTTCTATGGTATATTGATTATCTGAAGGAAGTTGGGGAAGACGTGATCGGGTTTTGGGTCCCACAGACCAATGAGTCAATAATCAACAACAGGATGTATGCAGTCAGTGCAGCTGCAGATGATGTTTCAAATTATGAACCACACACAAGCTGCCATTACGTAAATCTAATCATCCCAATGATTACATATAATTAAATACCAGACATACAGTTAACTAACACTTATGTACTTTCATTTCAGTCAAATTTTAAATACAGTCTTTTGTTGTAAAGGAGATTTTTTAATTAAGGGATTTCTTCTTTGCTTCTCCCTACTTGTCACTGATGACTTTATTTTAAGGGGTACTGCAGCAGTTTGTTATTGAACTTCAGACAACCTGGGAATGAGTAAAGTGAAATGTGTAGGAGACTCAGACTAACTTGAAAACTCTGTGAAGCAGAGATTGAGATAGTCCCTAGTATGGGTCAAGCTCCAAATGACTAGATCCTACATTTCCCATAATCAACTTAATAGCATCTTTCATTAGATAGCCTAATAAATGCCCATATCTTTCTAACTTCAATGTTCCAGTTTAGGATGTATTCTTTCAGTTCTTTTGATTTTTTTCTAATTTTTTTGTCTCCAAACCCAAAGTGATATAACCCTAATGACATCACTATGACTTCATCTGGGTTATTTTCTCAGACCTTACAAAGCTCCTCCAAAGCAACAGAAGATATTATATGACTGTATTAACAGGTCGTGTACAAGTCCACCAGCCTGGGGACCAGATGAATCTGCCTGGCTCATGATGTTTTATTTGCTCTAGCAGATGTGTCTGGCAATCTTTCCACTCAAATGGAATTCCAACCGTCCTGGACCTGGTCGGGCTGATCACAACCGTTTATTTAATATGGGGTGGGTTTTATACGATGACTGACAGAGAAGTGTCACTAGCCCGGTGTAAAGTCACACATCAAATGTTTCATTACTCTGACTGGTTGTTGTGTCCAGTCTGAAGGTCTGTCCAGGGCGACACTGAGGCTCACAAAACTTAGATCAAACTGTCAGACTAGGCAGTGCTGATGTAAATCAAGATTTTGCTACTGCATTGTCTTTCCCACCTCAAAGGTTTGCTGAAACACATTTTAATGTCCAGTAAGGCTGTCACAGACTAAAGATTTTCCCAGTTGACTAGTAGTCATTAGAACATATATTTAAATATATTGTTGAGAAAGGTACTAAATATTTTTCTGAAAATTTACATTTTATAATCACTATGCAATTAAAATGTATTTACTCTACCTTGACTTTGTCCATGACAGGATGGACTCATTTTCTGCTTGCAGTTCATTTGTAAAAAAGTGCAGGAGCTTCAGCAATTTCTGACAGCCTAGGGTCCACTTAATGCAATGAATATAAAGTTAAAGGGAAGATCTCAGCTTTTTCTTTTAGAAATTGTGACTGTCTCAAAGGCACTTTATAGGGATAACTACCCAGTAAAAGCCAATACTCGATTAGTTGTTGCACATTTATGATATCAATTAAATAATTTGAATATATATGTTTTACCAGCCACCTGTTCAATGATAACAGAAAAGTAGTAATGAATCTGACTGTGTCGGAATAACCAGCAAGGAGACTGAACATTTAGTTCATTTATTTCATCACAGTATAAAATTACACAAGTAGTGCTGTTCAAAACACAGAATAAAAAACTTCCAGCTTCACAGAAAGAAATACGGGCAGATTTATTGATACAGTGTATAAAGTTAACAGTTACTTACAAATCAACTCGCAACAAACACACTCTTCTCCTGTACCCGCTGTGTCTTCACCGTCCACGGTTGGAGCAGCTGTAAATCAGCTGGCCTCCATTGCAAGCTCATCCAGCTCCAGTTCTGCTGCTCGTTTCGTCCCGCTTCCTGGCAGTAGTCCCCGCTAAGTCCCCTGCTCCTAGTAAGTTACTTCCTGTGTTACAAGAGAAAAGGTCCTTGTTGCAATGATACTTAAGTCCCAGTTACAGAGCACAGCTCCCCAATGAATTTGGATGTTGTTTTTGTTTATCTGCGACTATCTGACTGATGAAAAGTGTGTCGACTAAGACTACTCTCATCGACTAACGATTAATCAACTATTAGGGGGCAGCACTACTGTTAAGCTTTATTTTGAGAACGTTTGTGACCAGCTGCCATGTTTTCCTGTTTGAAAACTGACCAAGCACCGTCCCAACTTGTATGTGTCGCTAAAGTTTTAAACTATGTACAAAAAAGGGTTACAAGCATTGTTTATTACATGTGGATGTAATTTAATTAAAGCTGAAAATCTGCACATCCTCAAAAGATAATCCCCCAGGCCACCATAATTACTCCTCCATCCAATGTGTATGAGATAAATCATTTCATATGCCTTTATTTTTAAAATGTTTTGCTATATTGCATTTTTGTGTTTGCTATGTATGCAACTAAACGAAACTATCGACTGTTAACCAAAGCAATAACCATAGGGAGTGCTAATGATATTACAATATTTTTAAACGTCTCAGTACATTCAAATATGATGATAAATGATACGATGATTCAACCATTTCATGGATTTAAGTGAAGCGGGAACTCATAAGCATATTTAAACGAACAAAAAAAATCTACGTTCATTGAAGTAATGATTAAACGTAAGTGGATTTCAATAAAATGCCCCATGGGTTTTTACAGTGAACTGCTTCATTTACAGTCTAGATGTCAACAACAATCTACATCCTGTGTTTGATGTGATGTTGAGAGAATGGGGAGCTTGTACAGGCTGCTGTATAGGCGCCAAAATGCAGCCAGACAGTGAACTGTGGCTGCTAAATGTTAATGTGCTATTAAACGCGCTGCAAATTACACAGAAACCCTCCGCCACTGACACAGGAGAAAAGAGAGAGAGGAGATTTACAGCTTCATGGCGGCACGCTGAACTTCATAAAACATATTATGTTTGAAAATGAACTCGGCCAGCATTCATCATCACAGGGTGCAGGACGAGGAACAGGGAAGGCCAATTCTTTCTGACCTCTCTCTCTCTCTCTCTCTCTCTCTCTCTCACACACACACACACACACACACACACACACACACACACACACCTTTTTGATGACCAAATTTTTATTTTAGAGCCAAATCCTCTATGAGTGAAACCAAATTATAAATATGCATAACCCTGCAAGCTCAGAACATGCACACTTAAGCCAGAAAGTTTGTTGAAGGTATTTTGTAATCTGAACCTAAGATAAAGGGTACATTAATGCACTGTTAATGGGAACGTCCAAAGCTCTTCTGGAAGTAATTGGTAAAGCAGTTCCTCTTGTCAGTTGCCTCAAAGGTCTATGTTGTTATTTTGCAGCAATCATTGGTTTTTTACTTTTGCAGGTCAAGATACTAAATGTACTCCTCCGGACAAAGATGGATATAACTTCTATAACAGTGTTTCACTAACTCAGGGTTGAGACCCAAAATGAGTCATGGAACTGTGTTTATTGGGTCCCCAGTTGATAGGCAGTGTAAAGTTACAATATTATGATATGTGAATTCATTTTCTCAAAAAATTTAAATAGAAGGAGAGAGAATGCTCTTTTTCACTGACATTAGTGCCAAGTAAAAATTATGCAACCAGTAATATGGTGCTGTGTGGGATGGCAAATGGGGTGACCAGACTTTAGCCATAGCCATGGCCAATGCCAAACTAAAGTCTTCACCATTGCCAGGATCTGCACATTTACACAGGTGTTACACAAGCGTCTCAGGTTGTGTTGCACCTGCTTTTGCTATAAGCCAGAGAGTTTGATGACCCCAGCAGAGCTATGACTCACTTTGGACTGAGCAGAGGTTGAAACATCTGTGTGGTTGGACACAGTCTTTGAATCCTGGAATTGCCCATACTCCTGTGTAAACTACTAGACTACAATGACAGAGCAGCTATTAAAAATATAGGGAGATGCAACCATGTTAGGACAGTTCCCATGGCAGCGGTTGACTGCTGTCAGCTTCCGTAGTTTGCTACAGACTGGATAATTAACTTTGATACAAGACTTTATCAACAAGTCCTCATAGAGTTGGTTGTTAGTGAGTTAAGAAGAATAAAGTGGCTGTTTGAGGGGCAGGGGTGAGGCTAAGAGTGCAGAAGGTTGTGTTGCATTTATGGTGAAACAGCTCATGAATCCACCAGTGCAGGACAGAAGGTGAATGCTATACAGATTGTAAAGCCCTCTGAGGGTAATTGTGATCTGTGATTTGGGGCTATATAAATTTTATCCCAAAAATAATATAACAATATTTTTCACATTGTATTGCTTCTATTTCCACCTATACCTTGTGAATAACAATAATTATTCCACATTTGAACATTCTGAATAAAAAAAACTTTATTTTTACATTAAATACATTAAATAATATCAACCAATGAAAAGGGCTTGCACAGAGAAAAACAAAGACATTTGGAAGCACCTTGATGCAAACGAAGACAATATTTAAGGCTTCTGATGCAGCAACACATTGGAAAACCACCATGTGTCCATTTTCAATTTCAGATTCAAAGAACATGTGTTCTGCATTCACATGTGGCTTTCTGCAAAAGCAACCAATCTGAAAAGGCTGCACTTTGTTTTATCCATCAGATTGTCCATTTAGCAGGATTTAACAGTACACAGATGATCGAAGTTGTGGTGGGTTGGGTTAAGTGCTGGGTGTGCTTGGTTTCCCTCCTCTGCTGTCTGTCAGCATGCAGCTGTGTGCGGTTGAGACTAGTGTGATTCAGGCAGTTTCAGGTTCCTGTGATCTCAAGCATCCAGCCCAACAACTTGAAACTACCTATATCACATAGCTCCTGTATGTATCCAGTGACTCTACTCGTGTGACTGAAACTGCAGGGAGAAACACTCCTGCTAGTTCTGGGATTTCACACCGGGTTAACAAAGCACAACAATCTCCAACAAGTAGACAACAGTAGGTACAAACAATCTGAAACAGAATTGAGATGTTATGTCAAAACTCCACATTTTGATCAGTCTCTAAAGTACACGACAGTAAAACATCAAGTCTTCAAAATGCATTGTCATTGCCTTCCAAGAGGATCTACGTTAGCATTTTCTGATTGGACGCTGCTATCATCAGCCCAGTATCCCTAGGAGTGACATTCCTGAACGATTATGCACCTCTTGATTTACATCCAGTGCCAACATTCATCAGTGCCAACGCAAGAAGCAGTGTGTCCTTTATGTAGCAATGTGGAAAGTGCATGTCTGACCTTCATGCAGGAGACTGGAGATTGCCTCCCATCACAGACTTTCAATTCATTTTACCCTTTTAATTAACCATAACAACAATCTCAGTTTTAGTTGCCTAATTGAATTATGCCATGAGAGTCCTCTCTTTCACATAACTACAGTATTCTTCCCCTTAAATTAACCCTGTTGTAGAAAGTGAACTTTTCGAAAATGTTGGCATTGGACATTTTCCAGGGTTTTGCTGAATCATCCAAAATTGACATTCATGTCTGGTGATAGGGTCATGATGACATTGTCAGTGGCTTCTAAAAACATTACAAATGACTGTCTTGGTTAAGTTTTGGGGCAAAGCACTACTTGGTTACAGGAATAGTTGGACAATTGGGGGAATACGCTTTTTATACCTTTATTTAGAGAGTGACAGCTGAAGATAGAAAGGAAACTGAAGGGAGAAAGAGAGAGGAGAATTATACCCGGGCTGCTGCAGCGAGGACTCAGCCTTAGTACATAGGGCGTGTGCCCTACTCAGTGGGGCACCCCACCTTTCCTTTTCTTTTCTTTGTAAGGTAAATCTATAGCGGTTGTGTGCTGGACTACTTCTGGGCCAGATGCAGTAACTTCCTGGATTCCAGCGGAGACCCCAGAGAGTTACTGGTCCTGGCCAAGACCAAGTTTGGCACATAACCGTGTATAAAACCACAAGGTGTTGTTTTTACACTTCAGTTTTTGTGAGGATTAAACATATACAGTATTATATGGTATTGAGTGAGCTTTAGAGTTGTTGATAAGTGGGTTTTGTTTCCTTTGGAATGAGAGAGGCTAGTAGTTTCCTCCTGATTCCAGTCTTTGAGCTAAGCTAAGCTACGCAGGTGTTGGCTGAGGCTTCGTATTTATCGTACACCTGAGAGAGTGTCAAACTTCTCAGCAGACTCTAACCAATAAAGCGAAAGTTAAACTATTCCTTTAAGTGTAAGGAAAGATTGTCGTCATGGTTAAAATAAACTAATGTTGACGGTAAGGGAGCAGGACACCTACAATGATCTACTTAAAGTCACATGCTTTGTGCACCCAACCACCCACCCCAACCAAAGATGGTTTGTGGTGCCGTAACAACATCACATTTTATGTGTTTGAACAAATGATTAATGCTTGTTGTGAGGACAGTCTCAAAACTCATTATTATTCTCAAACAATTAATTTAGTTAAACATGGCGGTGCAATACAAAGATTGAAGGCACTTACATGTTACACCAATTTGCAGGTATGATTATGAATTATCTTGAGAGCAATGAGATATTTTATTGATGTTATGCTTCTAGATAATGTGTCTAAACTGTCTGATCACATGTTTCTTGCCCCATTGGACTTCTTAGCGATGTTGTTGCGTTCCGACATTGCAGCAATTAACTTGGTGAGTACAATGTCATTATTTATTATTTTTTTTTTTATATGTGATTTAACTGATGAAATAAAGATAGTTGTAATAATGCAGAGTTTGCCTTTAATATCTGTAAGGATATTGAGTAGTCAGGCTGTAGACACAAGAACATGGGAGGAAATGAGGGAATTTTGTTGCATTTTATTGTTTCTAGTTTATGACTTTACAGAACACATTAGCACAAACTCTATTACTTGCAGTGTCAGATTATTTTATCAGTTTCACTGTAACCACCCAAAACTTTCCATTGCTTTGCATCCAGTTCACATTTGTGGCACAGAATAAGAACACCTAAAGAACGCAGACTGTTTTATATATGCCAGGAGTCATATGAAAGATTGACAAATGCAAATCCATGTTAATTGAATTACAGTTGAATCGTCACGCTAGTACAATAACTCGGTTAAGGTTTTTATGCGACAGTTGCAAGACTGGAAGTATTGCCGTCCTCTGGTTATAATCAAATGATTAGAGTGCATGTGACTGAATCCAGCAGCAGGAGGTCAGACTGCAGCAGTAAATCATATCTAACAAGTAAAATCCCTTCAGCACCAGGTTTCTGCTTGACTTAATGAATATCAAACTGTGTGACCCCGATGCGAAAAGAAGTTTGGAAAACCTCTGGAGCTGATTCACCAAGAGCTCTGTGAGGAAGCAGGGACGGCCCGAGGTCAGTAGAATAGAAGAATTTAATTTAGGAATAATTTCAGGGGATGGTTTCCTAGTCGAGGATCCCTGTGAAAAACAGAAAAAAAAGTCTGTTTAGTGTCTGAGAATCAGCCATGTGCATCCGAGGGACAAAGCTGACCATCAAAGGAGAATGAGACAGACAGGAAGGACGACGGCTTTCCAGGAGGCGCAAACCATCCTTTGGAGTGTCCTTTGTTGACCACCAATAGGTAATGAGGGGCAATAAGACAGCCATAAAACCACACTATGAAGTAATATACACCACTAACACAACTGCCTCCTCCACTTCCTCCAACCACCAATAAACGAGTTGGTCAATTACCCCGTGGTAAAAAGTAAAGGTGGGAGAGAGAGACAGATGGGAAAGTGGAAGAGGCATGCAGACAGGACAGAGATGAGGCAGGAGACAGTGTGGCGCTTTAGAAATGTTGCTGTCTCAACATGGCGCCTGCAGACCTGCAGCCCGGGAACTGACTCCCTCCTTCCTTTATTACCATTCTCTCTATCGTTCCACTCTTCTTCCATTTCCTCTCCTTGTTTATTTCCTTCTGTTTTCTCCTGCCGGCCCCACTCTGCTCTATTTTCTCTCCTCTGAATTACAGTCAGCATTGCTTTCCTTTACTACTGTCTTTTCTTTTCCTCCTCTCCACTCCTAACAAACGGACAGCAGCTGGCTATAGCAGCAGCAGCAGCAGCAGAGGAAGTTCAGCCATGTGTTCCTGATCAAAGCTCCACACAGAAACCCCGTGGGTCGCTTCTCATGCAACATAGCTACTCTGAGCATTGCTTTTAGAGTGCAATGAAAGAGGGCGATGGTCAGGTTGAGGGACATGGATCTGTTGCTGACTCACTATCCTGTCCTAACAACTGCAGCATGATTTCATAATCAATTTTATATCCTATCATATGCATGTGCAGTACCCCCAATGTCTCCTTTCTACTTGGTAAGCTGATTGGATATGATGTTTTAGAGCTGACTCCACTCTTCAGCCACTGTCTTGGACATTTAACCTGCAGGAAACATAAAAACTAGTTACTAAATGTAAAACTGAGAAATACAGAGACAACAAGGGGCCATTTACTGCAGCTCTATCAGTGCATCTATCAGATATCTGATACTAGAACTTGACGTCTATAGAAAGGTATATGATGCATTAGGCAGAACTCTATTCGCAGACCTTGTGGATATTAGTATAGTATTGGGTTAAAGCTACTGTATATTATGCATATATATATATATATATATATATATATATATATATATATACTGGTCAAGTACCTGTGCACTGTTTGATCTGTTAATCGTGGAATAATTAAAAGAGAATAGAATATGTTTGTCTTTGATCTCTGCCTGCCTTCTACTAAAGGAAGCGTCCTACACCATCTGCATCTCTTGCGTTTTCAACTGGAGCGAACAGGAAGTGGAACTCGTTAAAGCTCAGAAATAGAAGTTAGAAAGCTCTCACAGGAAATATTACATCAGTAGAACCACTAACACGTTTCCCACAGACTGGAGTGAGCTGGAAAATCAACCATAGCAGCATAAATACTGCTTTACACAATGCTGCGAATTTTACCACTGGTAGAACTACTGTGCTACTGTGACTAATACTACTATGTGACCACTGGTATTACCACAACAGCAGCGACAGTACTAATGTGGCAATTAGTGTACTACGACTAATTTCTGTTTGTGGTGTTTGATGCCTTGAGCAACATAGGCCTTTACTCTTACATGACCAACATATGCAACTAACTACTTCATATTTCCTGTGTTGTTTACAGGGATATACAGAAAAATATAACAAAAACGCATTATGGTATTTTGTATGAGGGTAACATATGAGAAACAATGAGAAGTATGTAATGAAATATAAACCTGATTGTACAGTTTTGTGTATCACAGTTAAACCCTCTATGACAAGCTGACGGGTTTATTTGAAGTAAAACTGCCCATTTTGAATCATGAAAGAGAGAAGATGGCAAACATGAAGGCGAGCTGAATGCATAATTATAATATCTCATGACAATGGAATTCCTACATGTTTAAAAGTAAGAAACTATAAGCACTATCTGTGCTTTTAAAACATAGTTACAATACAGACTTATTTGAAAAAAGAATTCAGTGTCTGTTAAACTACCATCATTTGTGGAACTTTTTTAAAACTTGCTGTCCTAACCCAGGCTGCTGTGGCAGTAGAAATTCAAGCACTTAATATAAAAAAAAAAATGTGTCACGGTACACAAAAATAAATTCTTCTTCTTACAATCTACAAATATGGATAAAAACTATATGTGTATTTCAAGACTCTTGCAAAGAGGTTAGTTAGAAGTTATGTCCTCTTGATTTTTTATTTATTTACTTTTTTTTTTTTTTTTCCAGTTTTAGCAACCTGGGGGGAGTTTACATTTTCCAATCATCATATGCTGATTCCAGTATTTTTAGACTCATTATATTTAATTTAAGCTACTTTCAGGCTAACTAAATAATATAGGGTGGGTTTGGCCAAAGTGAAATATTTAAACAGTGCCTTTGACTGGATGAAGGAACCAATAAGAATATATGTATTATACATATAAATAAAAAACAAGTATGTATATTGTATGTATTTATGTGTATGACCAATCAGTTTCATAATTTAAAATGTAGTTTGAATTCGTTTTGTGATTATATCAATATGTTGAAAGGTGTGTTGACTGGAGTATGGCCTCATTTATTAAAACAAAGTTGTTTTTAAACAATGTAGTAGTTATAAGAAACCTTTTATATTGTCTAAAAGAGATCAGAAATTGACTTTGCTCTAAAAAGCACAGTAAATCTGTGTCCCACTCTAACAGATAAATTGTCCCACTAAACCTTAAAAACCCCAGCGGGGGGGTTGGAGGGGGGTCTTGTTGAGTTCAAATGTGTCAGGTGTAATATTTAAACAATAATCAATTCCCTTCAAAACTTCAACAGAAGCATGTAAATTTAACTTTTCAGCAGAACTTTAGCTGAACCCACACTAAAGGCTTCAGCAGGCTTTGAAACGCTTTTTAGACGTCATGATGAGAAATTAAATTAAAACAGTTAAGTGAATAAAAAACTAAAAAACTAAAAATAAAAGGAATCTAAGCGGGTTGAGGGGTGGATGGTGACCTCAGTATTTCTAAAACACTGGCTGCAGCCATGGTTCCCTCACATCCTTCAGTCGAATGAATGAATAATAAATAAAGCGATCACTACGCTTCAACAGTCATCCCAGCTGTAAACAATCTGTGGCCTTTTACTCAACAACCTCCTGCCATTGTGCACAGAAAAAAACACGCACTCACCATTAGATGAAGACAGGCAGACTGAGTCCAAGTTGCCTGGATGGGAAAGTGAAATAAAATTTAAAGACTTCAGATTTACATTTGGAAAGAAGGTAGATAGAGGAGCTGGGACATGAGAAAATGAGCCGTCAAAACAACAAGACAATGTCTCACCCCCTAATATATATCCAGCCTACACTCTCCTCTGAGGCCGTCTCCTCCTCCATTCATGTCTGTGTGCGGTTCGTTGGCTCGGACTTGAATCCTCAATGCGGGCCACAACAGTCCAAAGCAAGAGTCCACATTAGATGTAAGATGTTAGATGAAAAGAGAGAAATCCGCCAAAGTGAGCCGATTGTCATCTGCAGCCAGGATCTCCACACGCTCATATTCTGATTCCCATGATAATTTATCACAAGGATGTCCCGTTAAACTGTCCTCACTCCACTTTGTCCTCAACTAGAAATAACACCAGGGCGGATATAAGAAGTTTAGGTGGTAACATTTGATTTAAACTGACTGATCTGATGCCAGCCGGCCGGCGCTGTAACTCGAGCCCTGTGTGTGAAGCTGCAGCTACATAGGGCTGACATTACACACACCCTCGTCTTCCTCATCCTCTCTGTGTTTTCCAGCGCGATGCAGTGCGAGCCGGAAGGTCCTCTCCTCCATCAGTCCATCGGGTGCTGAGGTGAGGGTCTCGCTGCTCCGGTTAGCGCGCATGCTGCTTCCTCATCCTCATCCTCCGGTTCTTCACCTGCAGGTCGCTCAGGTCGACGCTCCTGCTGGTCTCCAGGTGGCGCTGTCGGCTCAGGTACATGCTGCAGAGGAACTCGTTCTACTGCTCCAGGGTCTGCTGCCTGCTGTAAGGACAGCGCTCCTTCCTGTCGGCTCGGGCCGACAGTCGAGTGCCGACGGCCGGGCAGTCCGCCGCCGGGACCGGGCGCCTTCCACCGGGCTCATCTGGAGAGGATGGAAGGGAGACAGATGGCCGTCACATTGTGATACATTATAGATTATAGCCTATATCTTTCTTTCTAATGTTGAAAATGATGGTCGTATTTTAAAAAGAAGAAAAACAATGTAGCGATATACTGAAAACTGTAGGCCTAAAATATGACAATAGGCCTATTTAAATTAATTATTGTCTCTACAATTAAAGACAGTTAGCTGCGTTAGCATTGGATCGATAATTGATTATTTATTCTGTTTCCACAGCTTGATACACACACACACACACACACACACACACACACACACACACACACACACACACACACGGTAAGAAAGTAAATACATAATAAGATCAAATAACCTACTACTACTACTATTAATAATAATAATAATAATAATAATAATAATAATAATAACAATAATAACAATTATGTATTATTTGATTATTGTTATTAGTAGTAGTAGTAGGCCTAGTAGTAATATCATCAGTAGTAGTATTATTATATAATATAATAATAAGTGGCAGTAATGCAGCCTAAATTATTAACGTATTGTGTAAGGTATTGTATACTCCAATTTACTACTGTGACTGGACATTTTTAATACTACGGAACATTTACGACATTTCGTTCATTCGTTGGACGTGGAGAAAGCACAAATACACACAGCACACAGACTCTTGGAATAATACAGCCGAAACGAGTCAATGTGAAAAATAAAATGGTAAAGTAAAAAATAATATAAATATAATATTGGTAACCACTTTTGTGTTTTCAGGATTCCGCTTATTTTTTTTCAAAGTTAAACGAAACAAAATCAACAAATAGCCTAGTATTTGTTGATTTGCTATTATTATTTTGATTATAAGCATTTAGGCTATAATCACAAATATATATAATTACAAATATAAAGCTAATTATCATTATTTAATAGCAACGTTAATATCCTACTTATTGTGTTACTTTCACAATTATTATTATTATTATAATTATTATTAGTAGTAGTAGTTGTAGTAGTAGTATTACGTGTAGTCGCAGGACGTAGCAACTGTTTCCAATCAGACCGGTGGAATACAAAAAAAGTCTAAAAAGTAATGAACTCCTTAATAAACGGTCTAATTTCTGACAGTTTGAAGAGGGAGCGGATATGAAAGAGAACTAGGCCCCTGTCTGCATTTTTCAACATGATGTTGTATTTCGGGCTCTCGGAGAAGCAGCAGCTGTTTAAATAGGTTGTGCTGATCTTAAAACTTTCCACATCCAGTCAGAAAACAACCGCACAGCCTTTGTTCGGGATGTCACATGTGCACACACACCTATCTGGTCTCTGCAGTATCTTTCTGTCTTTATGTGCCTCCAGATGCTCGGTTCCATACATCAACTCGTCGCCATCCAGGAAAGCTCCCTCTCTTTTTCTCTTCCAGAGAAATGCTCCTACAGAGCCGAGCGGGCTCACAGCTGAGAGGAGCAGCAGGCAGTGCAGCTAATATTAAAGCTCAATTTACCTTTGCGCTTTGGTCGTTTTAGACCGAAACCTATGGGTTAATAATCAGAATTTACGATGACATCCTCCCATCCCACTGAGTAGATACGATTTCCACATCTCTGCTTTGTGTCTCAGACCTCAGCTTATATTAAAGAATACATAAATACTGCAGAAAAGATCCCATGCACACCATTTATTTCACTCCACAATGAGTCTACTTATATTCCAGTTTATTGGACAGATAAAATCGTACAGTATGGATTGAGTCATATATATATTTTTTAACTGGTTTGTCGGTTGTCATATCAGTAATTCTGTATTTTGTCCCTTATCGTTTATTGTTATCACTGGTATGTTTTTTCTTTGGGTTTTTACTGTTTTATTGTCTATTTTAATGTTCTTTCGTACAGCCCCTTGGTCAATTTAAACTGTGTTTAAATGTGCTTTATGAATAAACTTGACTAACTTAAAACATTTTTTTATTTTTCTGAAAAAAACTCATCACTGCAGAATGTTCATATTTATCAACATCAAACACACACACACCCATATATATTCAGTTTCTATAGAAAGACGGAAACAAATGGCTAAATTCAAACAGACTAAAACTATAACAAATACTTATCTTTTCTGTTAAGCAAACCTGTTTCTGTTTAAGAAACCCATATATAATATATATTACAGACAAAACAAATACACTGCTGCCCTGTAGCCTTTAATACACAGGATGAAAATATTCGGCTGTTCAGATAGAGAACTGTTATAGAGAAGAATAAAATCCATCTTTATGTATATTCTCTGCAGAGATTGACGGAGAGTTTTAAACCAAAAGGAAAAAAAATAATGATAGAGATTTTGTAGGTGGTGTGTGTGTGGTTGCTGCTGTGTTTTGGACAAAGAGGCATCCGGAAGTGATTGCATTTTAATGATTTATTTTGTCCACATCCACATGATGAAATGCATTATGAGCCTGCTGTTATTTTAGTTTCATTGCTAATTCACGAATGAATTCCATTCTTCACTGGGCGTCTGTATGAGCACCATGTTAGCACTGAATATCACCCTTCAGTCTGCTCTGCGTGCCAACAACAAGGACAAACACCGCTGCGTTTTGTCAGGACACTAAAGCGTGTCTGTCACCGCTGCAGGCCCAGCTCGGCTCTTCCGGTCCTGTCCGGCTGCTGGACACGGGAGGAGGGCAACTCAACCCCGGTGGAGCAATAAATTCAATTCAGGGAGGGAAGGGACTCGCTTTGTCTTTAAGAGCCCACCATAAAACCAAATAAAGAGAAGCCAGAAGGACGATGTGAGGCAGACAGGAAAGAGAGACAGACAGAGGAGTCACCTTCTTGTCTCGCCTCCAGACCAAACAGCCTCCCCCCTCCGGCTGCTGAAGCCATGGCCGAGCTCTCTGACTTTACTGCCTCCTCTTCTTCTTCTTCTTTCCTGTTTCTGCTTGGCTACACCGAGTCCACCTCCATCTGTTGTTTTTGAGTCTCCTCCCCTTTTGTTTTCTTCAATCCTTTCTTTTTCTATCCCTGCTCTCTCTTTTAACACTCATCCCCCGCTTCTTTCCTGCTTTATATCCTTCATCCTTTCCTCACTCCCTTTATTGCCTCCGCTCAACATCCTTCATTCCCTCCCTCATTCTTCTTTTAATCTTTCCTGCCTTTCATTTTTTTTCCCTTCTCTGCACATCCTGTCATCCTCCCTCCATCTCCTCCTTCTCATTCTCTCTTTCCTACCTTGTCCCGGTTCTGTCCGCTGTCCCCCGACCAGGCCGTCCTCCTCCGCTGCGGCTGTCCCTGCGACTGTTTTGGATCGGAACCGAATGACATCCCTCCTTACTCTGAGGATCAGCCGCACTCCTCCTTCTCCTGCCTTCTCTTCGGTAATAAACCGGCTGCCATCGGGTCGCTGTCACCCACCAGGGTGAAGCTCCAGGTGTTATGAGGTCTTCTGGAGGCGCGAGGAGAAGGTGGTTGTGAGATGGGACTCCCTCGGCGATCATCTCCGCCAACATCAGATCCGGTTGTGGTGGAGTGCAAAGCCGCCCTCGTGCACGGAGGAGGGTCGTCGCAGCTGTGACGATGAGCAGACTCCAGTCCTCAAACTGAGCCACCCTGGGAGAGAACCGAGGTCATGATGTCGCGGTGACTCCACGGTGAAACCGGGAACGTGTCCGGTTGCAGGCGGCAGCCTGGACCTGAGCTGCAGGTTCGGTTCCTGAGTGACGTGGGGAAGAAAAGGAGGAGGAAGATGTTTCAGAAGAAGGAAGGGGGCGGGGGTCCTTTGGTTGCTGCGAACAGTAAACACATGAACACGTTACGTTCATCCAGAGCAGTGTTTTGGTGCGTCTTGCTCCATTCGGTACCGATGCCTTGGTGGAGGCTCATCCCCATGCGCACTGCTGCTCTGAGATGATGTTAGCTCCGTTATTTTGAAGCGCCAGTGAGGGCTTGGAGTCTTTGACACACTGTGTGTGTGTGTGTGTGTGTGTGTGTGTGTGTGTGTGTGTGTGTGTGTGTGTGTGTGTGTGCTCAGACATTGCTGTGGAAACATTGCAAGGAGGCGGGGGCCATATTTTGGGTTGATGGGGGTAGAGACAGACTTTTGCTAGAAACGCTTCCTGTTAGGCGGCCAATGGCAGTCTGAGGTTCACGGGCAGACCACGCCCCCCACCTCTAACGTCTGCTTTCTTTCTTTCTTTCTTTCTTTCTTTCTTTCTTTCTTTCTTTCTTTTCTTTCTTTCTTTCTTTCTTTCTTTCTTTCTTTCTTTCTTAATGGGAAATAGACTACAGGCTCCATTAAAATGCTCTCTTCATATTTCACCGCTGCTTCAAATGAGAACCACGCGTGTTTCGGAGACTGGAAGCGGGCAGGAGGCCGATGTGAAGTACAGAGGCGGCCTGAGTCACAAGCTGCATCCAATTACAGTCCAGTTGAACGCAGCAGTCTGCTGTGGAATTTCCCCTCCGATTAGGCCCGTACATTGCAATAAAATAGCGGATTCTTTATGAAGTATTCTTATGTTTCTGAGGAATGGAGGGAAAGCTGGGGATTCACAGGAAGAGTGAGGTCTTGCTTATACCACAAACAGAGGGTTGGTGCAGCAGTTGGGAAACATTTGAAGCCAACAGAGCTGCTAAAATTAAATTTGGCATAAAGTACATTTCTTTCCCATGATTCTGAAACCCAAAGCACGCGAGGCACCTACAATTTCCCACCGTGTGTGAACAGTTACAGTGAACTCCACTGATCCTCCGCATACTGTGCGCACATTTCAAAGGCTGCGTGCATCTTTTTTCCTTTTGCAGATTTCCATGTATTAAAATCAAAGCAAACTGCTTGCATTGCTTCATATTGATTTAAATAAATGAAATTAAAATATTCATGCATACACTCAGTCACAAACTATTTAAGTCGCCCAGTTTATTGAATTCCCTAATGATAAAAGAGCTGTGTGGTGTTATAAATAGACATTATATAATAAAAGCACTATCCCAATAGCTTTATACACGCTTACATTAAAGTTCATACAACATTCGTATTACTGAAGCTGAATATCACTGATAAGTTTGCGTTCAAAATCGGAAAATGTCTATAAAGACATTGTTTCCGGCTAACAGAGCTTTGTTAGAATAAATCCTCATTAGAAAACATGATTACACATACAGAATGAGATTATCTCACCATATTTATCTCTGCATTTAATTCATGAATTGTAACTTTTTAAATCTTTTTAATCTCATTTCTTAATGCTTTGGCAATATTTTATCTGTTACACACATTAAACCATACTGAATTGAATTTAAGCAGTTCCACTTAAATCCGGTGTAAATGAGATAAAATAAATGCATGTGGAAGCTGAGGCTGTTTATGTGTTTAAAGCAGAATCTGACTACAGACTGCATAAGAAGGACAGACGAGGACGCACGAGGATACTGATGGCCTCTCAAACACAGCGAGCTGCTCTTGTGTTGCTCACTGAACTGCACTGTGAATCAGATGGATGCAGTACATCTTCTCTGCCTCCGACTGTCGCTGTTTCCCTCTCACAACCCTCCCCATTCAGCTCTATGACCGGTTTGTAAACACAGCAGCTTCACTTGCACACATGGAAAGATGTGATGAACCACTGGTCGACCAAGTGTTTTGTTCTCACTGGAAAACCATTGAGCTCCACAGTAGTGAAGTTGGGGAAACTTAATAACAAGGGTGCAATATACAAGTAATGCAGGCGTGAATGCAGGGTGTATCATTAATTCCTGCTGCTTTCTATTAAGAGATGATCATTTTAGAGTCCATGTGATACGTTAATGTTTAATGAGTATAGATACATAGTAATTTATACACTGATGTATGTGTTAAAGGCTTTTGACAGAAATATGTTGAATATTGTAGAATAGTTTATGTTTGTTGTACATTTAACAAAATGAACAAAAGAGAATACAAATATATCCTGTTATTTTCTTCATTTCGTTAAACTTACACTTTTTGAATTTCAAATTACTTTGGTTGACCTTTTTATTTATCTATCCATCTAATATTTTGAAAGTCATATATGGTCTCTATTTTAAATAAAATTGCACCTAATTCTATCACTTCTGTCACTGCTTTAAATCTACTAAATGTTCACAGTTAGGCCTGCAATGTAGAAGGTGATCATTTCTCTTATATATCTTTACATAGGCTGAGTTAATTCCAAATTCAAGTTTCAACTCAATCCCTGTGTTTTGATGACACGGCCTTCAGTCTTCACACAGACTGGATGTAAAAATGTCTATATATATTTTCTAACTTAAAGTATCCAATACATTTCTCTCCAATGCTTTTAGCCTCACTTTTAAGCCATATGATACATATATACATATCGATCTAACTCCATGTTAGAGCTCCTATAAACAAACTCCAATAACATAAGTCCATAAGAGGATTATAAAAGGGTTAATACTGTTTAAAAACTTCTGTCAACACCAATTACGGACGCAGAGCAAATGCAAACTCATTGTATTTAACCATGCATGTTTTACAGCGCAATGCCTAATTTTCTGTAGCGCACTTCCGAAGTCTGTCATCAATCATGTTTATATGAAATTATAATTCATTTAGGAAAAGTCACATTAGGGATAAGTTCCAAATCCCTTCCGTTTCCTGCCTCCAACTCATTTACATTATTAAAACTGTAATCGTTGATCACATCAACCCCAGTCCTGGACCGAACCCTGTGTTATTGCTGTTTTCTTGGAAGACCAAGTTGCCAAAATATTGACGCAGAGCTAAATTAAGTTCTGGCTGCATATGAAGCCCAGATGGATGTCGGGTGAAAAATAAGCCTGCCATGAACAGATCTACGATCTGTGGATGGGCGCACATATGGTGTCCAGATAGGCCTTTAATAGTTAATTCTAATCTCTTGCCACTTTCAGCCTACCACTGTAACCTCAGCATAATGAGTCAAATCTGTCTGTAAACGGCCACTTCCCACTGCAGATCACCAAATGTCCAATAAGATAGACTCACCGTGTTTGGGAGCTGCAGGCGGGATGACGCACGACGCAAGGCGATGATCAAACTCCGGGATGGACGGAGATTTGCGCTGCTTCCCCGGTTCTGTCCGCCGGTCTCTGGGCAGTTTTGACGTTGAAGTTTCCCGGAGTGAGGGGCCTGGTTTACTGGCCCTTGCTGTAAAACCCTGGTTGTTTGTTTGTGTGTGTGTGTGTGTGTGTGTGTGTGTGTGTGAGTGTGTGTGTGTGTGTGTGTGTGTGTGTGTGTGTGTGTGTGTGAGTGTGTGTGTGTGTGTGTGTGTGTGTGTGTGTGTGTGTGTGCGCGCGTGTGTAGAGAAGAGCCATCCGCTTTCAAAAATTACATTCCAATGATCTCCCTCTTTCACACACGTCCTCTCTCTCTCCCCTTCTGTCTAATTTTTGCAACCCCCTCCCATCTTCCAACACACACACACACACACACACACACACACACACACACACTCTCTCTCTCTCTCTTTCCCCATAATTATAAACAGAAGAAGAGTTGCCGACATACACACTTCTGCAAATGGTGGACCTCCCTCCCATCCACACCCCCGGTCAAGCTCGTATAACCGGTTACCATGACAACTGGGCCCCCAGATCGCTATAAAGTTTTACAGCACAGAAAGAGGCCCGAAACTCCCACTTTGCCTCTTTTTTTGTGTGTGTGTGTGTGTGTGTGTGTGTGTGTGTGTGTGTGTGTGTGTGTGTCACTGAGAAGAATAGTAAAGAAGAAACGGAATCCATGTCAAAACAGATTGTAATCTCTCTCATGCCTTCAGAAGTTGTTTTCCATAAAACGAGTCGCGGGGGAATTGAGGCATTTTTCATTAAATCGGGCCAGTGCGCGCATTAGGAGGATTAAAACATATTTATGGAGCCGGATTTGCATTTCTTACGGGCACAGACGCACGCGGCCCTCGGTGACCTTGCGCGTCTGAAGGTCGAGGTCGGTTCGGATTAAATGTAGTTTCACTGTCGCCCGTGTCTCACCGAGCGGATCAATATGTGACCTGCTCCAGCTGCAGGGTCCCTGCAGCCACACACTGCTGCAGAGGTGCGTTTACACCCGGGAAATACCCCTGAGATCTCGTTGTTCTGGACCTGGGGGGTAGCCTATTGAATAATTTACACAAAAGTAATGAAATTATTATTTATGACTCGATTAGCCTAATGAGTGACTCTCAGAACGGATTCACCCTTTATTTCTAAAATGCCACAGTGCAGGTGAGAAACAGAGAGAGCAACAATCATTAAGGTTATTTTCAGCTAATACCTGATTAATAATAAGTGTCTATGCATGCGCATTAGTATCCATGATCCGGTTTTTGGGAGTGGGCTATCTCTGTTAAGTATTGCATATGAACACCTGATTTCACAAACCTGGTTAAGACATTAACCTCGTTCTGAGAAACGTGGATGTGCTTGCTTTGATAGAGAACAGGACACTGGTTAAACACAGGATCCAGGTTTATGGTCATTCTTTAGAACATAGTGGCTGAGCTGGTGAGAAAGACACATGATCAGAATCAAATCTTCAAACATTTTCCCAAATACTTTTCATTGAACTTAAGCTTATCTTTAAGTCTAAAATGTGGCCGTAAGTTTTTTTTTAACGCTGTTAAATTTGACAGCAAATGACACCAAACTGGAATGACCAGGCATTTTTATGGATGGCAGGTGCCACCCCTGTAGATTCACCCCTGGGTCAGTTCATGTCAGATCAAGGCTGTCACTTCATTTATTAAATTAGGCTACTGCAACAAGATTATTGATATATAAAACATCAAATATCTTCACATCTCCACATCACATCCCATATATTTATAGATGTACTATAGCCTATACATGTACAATTGTGTATTATAACAAATGCATTAATGTGTAAGCAGCTCTACAGACAGGGCCTATTTTAACACTTTTTATGTAACAGATTCTGCTTTT